ATGAGGGAGCATGATGAGATCAGATCCTGTAGGCCCAGGAGAAGTAGAAGTCGATGAAGGGCTTTGGTCAGGGAAGTGACCCAATCCCGGGGAGCCTGGGTGGCTCTGTCGGTTGAGCATTGACTCTTGATTTCAGCTCATGATCTCATAGTTGCTGAGATCAAATCCTATGTCAGGCTCTGCACTGACAGTGCGGATTCTGCTTGGGATTCTCTCTCTCTCCCTCTCTCTCCCCCCCCCCCTTTGTTCTCCCATGTGTACGCTCTCGCTCTCTCTCTCTCTCTCTCTCTCTCTCAAAATAAATAAATAAACATTTAAAAAAAGAAGAGGTGACCCAATCTGGCTATTCTTTAACAAAAGCGCTAGCCTCCCTTATGGGGTGTGGGCTCCTGATGAGGGGGAAGCTGACAGGTTAAATAATTAGGTAACAGATGGTGATAGTGGCATCATCGTGGAGACGGTGAAGGAGGTGAGGAGTGGTTAGGTCCTGCTTACATTTGAAAGTTCACAGTCAATAAAATGTGCTCATGGATTAGCTGTGACGGGTGAAAGAAGCAAGGTGGGTCCAGGGTCTGAGTATCCTGGCCGAACAGCTGGAAGAAGAGACCTCCAGAAGTCGTGAACACCCCCCAAGCAGCGGGCTTGTGAATTGAGACCCCCCCACCTTTGGCACAGGTTACAGGGGAAATGTTCTTCAGGCCCCAGGCATAGGTGTGCGGTGGCCATGGACACAGGGGCTCACGTGGCAGGTGAGGGCAGGAGGGCTGAGCTGGAGTGAGGACGTTGCTGACATTTCTACGGCCATGACATTCGCAGGGACCCACCAGCCCCGGAGTGTGAGGATGAATAGGAGATGGCCAAGCCCTCTGGGGCTGGGAGAGACCAGCAAAGGACAATGGGGAGAGGTCAGGGGTACTACGAGAGGAAACCAAGAGAGAGTGTTGTGTTGAAGGGCTATTGAACAGTGTTTTCAATGCTGAAGACGGGTTCGGAGGTAAGGACAGTGTAGGAGTGTAGGAGTCCTGATGGCTTGGGCAACTGACCCTGCCAGGGGCCCCGCTCAGCAAAACCTGTGAGGAGTGAGGTCCTCACAAGTGAACATGTGAAAAGTAGGCTCCCTAGGCCCGCAGTGGTAAGTCCTGTCTAGCAGAAAACAATTTCTTTCTTCTTCCCTAGAATGTATGTAAACGTCTTGATAATCTCTCCCATTTTCCCGTTCTGCCCTCAATTGTTCTATCTCCTTGAGACGGTTCCTATCGGAGATGGTGGGATTTGTTCATGTGCTTCCCCCCCCCAAAAGGAAAAGTTATCCTGCTTCCTCAGTCCCCAGGTACAGGCAGCTATGCCATTATCAACACTTGCTTGCTTTAATACTGAAGATCGAGTGGTTTGTCTCTTTCAGTGTTCTGCCCACCAAAGTAGCTGAATAGTGCATTTTATTTTATTTTTTTTATACTTCTGCTTTCTTGTCTTTTAGTTTCATTACTGAAAATGGGACTCATGCCCAGAAATTCTCCCAAAAAACCTGGCTTTTAAATATAATATTTAACTGGTAACTACAGACTCTGTAGATATAAATACAGTTACCTAATGGGGTTAAGTGACTTTTGAAAATACCACCTTCTTGGGGCGCCTGGGTGGCCCAGTTGGTTAGGCGTCCGACTTTAGCTAAGGTCATGATCTCACGGTTCGGGAGTTCGAGCCCCGCATCAGGGTCTGTGCTGACAGCTCAGGGCCTGGAGCCTGCTTCTGATTCTTTGTCTACCCCCCCTCAGCTCTTCCCCTGCTCACACTCTGTCTCTCTCTCTCAAAATAAATAAAGATTAAAACAAATTAAAAAAAAAAAAAAAAGAAGAAGAAGAACTGTTAAAATACCACCTTCTTTCACCTGACCTGCTTTTTGCACTTCTCTTCTCATTGATGAGTGGTTACCGAATCAGATTTTTGAGAATTCCTATTTATATTGTACAGAAGAAGGAAGGATTGGATGACAGGTTTGATGCATGGTGTCACTGAAGAGTAAAGTGTAATGGTATTAATTAGTGTTAAGTGCCATATTGTAACTCTAATTAATCTGGAGTATCTACGTTATTAATATTCTTTCCTGCCACTAATTTCTCCCATCAGTCTTACATTGGGATGTTCATTTGCATCCTCTGAATTGGAGAAAGGTGGTGAATTTCCCTGAGTAGCCTCTCATAAATCAGGAGACGGGAGTTTTGGATGCTTTCCTGCCTGGTATTTACATGTGATGTGGCCTTGAACTTAAAACTAACCTTTTTACTTCTCCATCAGCACAAATGTATATGTTCTCACATTTAGAGAGGGGTATACAAAATAGGACAGAGATTAGGAATGTGGACTTTGGACACAGATGCCTGGTTAGCACACCTGACGCAATATATGACAGCCATCCAAAAATATCAGCCATATTAACAGCAAACTAATGTGAGGGTTAAAACGGGGCTTTTGCATGTTATTTTTAAAGACATGCAGAATTTGATTGTGCCCAGAGATCTAATTTGAGTTTCATTTCCTTTTCATTGGACCACTTTGTTTTCATCATGCAAATAATACATGTTCTTCCTGGCGTCACAGCTGGCAGTAAAAATTAACAACCTATGAGCTGAATGTAAAACATAAGCTTCTTTCATTGTTATAAAATTAGGCTTTTTGTTTTCCCCTCACCATCCATAAATGGTGTGTTTGTGTGTGTTTATCGTGGGGGAGGGAATACATTATAGAGTTTGTGACTTTTCGTAGCACTGCTGGCATGCCCAGGATGTGGCATCATGGCTTTTGGAATAATTAGATGCAAAATAAAGGGAGAGAGAAAGGTCCTGCTCACAATGACTTGCGTCTATGAACTGTTCCCGCTTTAATCAGATCACAGTTGCTGGGTCGGAAGCCCGTAAGGACCAATTAGCTTCGTCCAGTGTAAAAGTGATGTTTTCTAGTCAGAGTCTGTCCCTCTCACCCTGATTGGCTGTGTCCAAAAAGCCTGCTGTGTGTCACAGAGGGAACTCCTGAAGAGCATCTGTGGCTCAGCGCAAATTAATGACAGCTGCTGGACACAGAAAGAGCAGTCCATACTGATGGGGCGGGGGGGGGGGGGTTGGCGCATAGGCATATGTGTGAGAAGAAAGCTTAAGTCCAGAAAAGGCTGTGCATTATTTCAGGGTTGTGGTTCCCCGTGCGGATCAGGGCTCATTGAACCTTTTGTACCATGGACCACTTTGGCAATATGTTTCCCAATGAAAATATAAATGCGTACAATAAATGACATAGCATTATAAAGGAAATCTAATGTATTGAAATAGAATTCTCAAAATATTTAAATTTTTTTTTTCAACGTTTATTTATTTTTGGGACAGAGAGAGACAGAGCATGAACGGTGGAGGGGCAGAGAGAGAGGGAGACACAGAATCGGAAACAGGCTCCAGACTCTGAGCCATCAGCCCAGAGCCCGACGCGGGGCTCGAACTCACGGACCGCGAGATCGTGACCTGGCTGAAGTCGGACGCTTAACCGACTGCGCCACCCAGGCGCCCCTCAAAATATTTAAAAAGAAGAAAAATACATAGTTTTTATCAGTGCTTTAAATAACCTAATTTTACAGTGGGTTTATTAATTACCACGATTTCAAATTAGTAATTAGCATAAATGAGGTTTCAAAATAGTTCAATATTAATAATAATATGAAGTGAAAAAATATTGTGATTTTTTCTTGGTTCAAAGTCACCTGTACTCCCAGACTGGTAACTGTGATGTTACTCACCCTCTTCATTGATGAAAATGCTAAATTATGATCATAAGAAAGTGTACAATTATCTTCTAGAAGCTCGAGTTTCTGCCCCAGATTGAAAAATCAGAGATACCTATCTGAACCACTTGTAAATTTTCATGGCTAAAATGGTACTATTTCATCCAGGAAAGCACTTGAGTATTTAATATAAAATATTTAACCTTCAGTTGGAGTTGATTTCAAAACACAACTATTGCAAAAGTGGGGAAAACTTATCAGTAAAAAGTTATGACAAAATTTGAATCTATTTCAATAAGTACATTCTATTGAATTGTGTCAAGGTTTTTCTTGACATTTGGAAGAAATTTTCTAGGAGTCAGTTGTGATGAAATGTTCCCTGAAATAACTTCTGGATTGCTGTATAATAAGGTACATTTTCTAAAAAAAAGACAAAAACAAAACCCAGAAAGTCAAGGGCTGGTGTTTCCCCCACTCACAACATGACCATGTAGTCATGAAAAGAAAATCTATTGGAAATATAAATTGTCATCAATTTTTTTAACTGAAGAGGAGAAAAGACAAGAAAACAAACATATTTCTAGTACATGAGTCTTAATTATATTTTAATAACATATGTCTAATTAAATAATATTTGGAATTCTATAGCTATTTAAAAATACTTACTTGAAATCATCTCTGTCCGTTATATGATGTCTTTGAGGACTTTCCATGGGCAAAAATGTAGCCTTAATCTATTAAATTTATATAGAAATATGAATTATTTGGGGATTTGATCGTTAGTGTGGAATGAGAAGACAAATAGGAAAATAAAGTAAATATAATACTTTAGGTTATGAATTTTTTTCTCTTTTACTTAAATATTTTATTAGCAATTTACCAAATGCCTTTGCTTCTCAATTTTCTGTCTACCTGTTTTTAACCACAATTTTCTCTCCTAACAACATATAATGCAGATACAATAATTCTTTATTAGTGTTTTTGTTTGTTTTGTTTTGTTTTATTTTTAATATATACTGAGTTTGAGGACAGGAGACCAAAAAGTTGATGAACTGTCTCTGGACTTTCTTATCCTCATCAACTCGTTCTAAGGGCCCCAGTCCCTTGACTTGAAAGCATTTCTTCTTTCTGTAATGACTCCAGATCAAAAAAGAACCCTCCTATACGATGTGAAAAGCAACACGCCAAAAGCATCCAATAACAGAATTTTTTAACTTCTCAAAAAATTATTTTCTAGGCTGAACAAGACAATGGTCACCCTCTGCCAGCCTTTGCCAGTCTACATATTGAAATACTGGATGAAAACAACCAGAGTCCCTACTTCACGATGCCCAGTTATCAAGGCTACATTCTGGAATCTGCCCCAGTGGGAGCCACTATCTCTGACAGTCTGAATTTGACCACCCCTCTTAGAATTGTGGCTCTGGACAAGGACATAGAGGATGTAAGTTCAATCTTCATTTTTCTCTTGTTTTCTTTATGTCAACAGGAAATTTTACGAGGACACAGTTACATGAGCCATCGAATAGAGAACCAAGTCCGTATAAATAAGAGTCTCAGAAACAAGGATCTTAGTGTTGTAATCTAATTTCACATCAAGAATATTGTGAAAAAGAGTATGTTTGAATTCAGTGACTGTTTTTTTTGTTTGTGTGTTTGTTTGTTTGTTTTTCAGTTTACATATCCTGGGTATAAGGATGGAAAGGAATGTTTCATTTATAGTTTGCTAAACCACAGGACAATCTTTTTTTTTTTTAATTAATATGGGTTGAAAACTGTTTCTATAATTGCTGATAGGGGAACATAATCACATTACAGAATAAATATTAGAAAAAAAAAACAAAAACATGAAGGCAGTCCTGTGGTATGGTTTAAGGAACTTTTCCGATGCTATGTTATTAGGCAAAAACACATTTGGAGGCAGCTGACCCGCTCACACTGCCACCGGTGGCCGTGTTGATGTCAAGGCTCCGTGCGCCATGCATGCCAGTGCCCTGTGGTGGACATGCCACTGGCCACACGGGTGGTTGGCTGTCCAGGCTGGGCAGGTCAGAGTTCTTGACCTCTGCACCCCCTCTTGTGCTGAGAAGTGGGCAGCCAGTCTATACCAGGCCAGTCATAGCTTTTCCAGGAAAGGAAAATCAAGGAACCAGGGCGGGGAGGCTTTGGCATCACATATTAAAGAAATGGAAACGGATCTGAAGCCACAGTGGCCGCATTAGCTGACATCATGGAGGAAGCCTGTCACCACAGAGAGGAAATGAGTCCTGACAAAGTCACACACAAGGGAGTGCTGTTGGGTCCTGTTGTCTTGGGTTAGAAGATGCCCAGGCCTGTACTGGTCTCTGATTTTTCTTCCTTTTGTTCTGTGGTTCTGTGACCTGCCACAGTATTTCCCCATGCATCTTTTTTATTTTTTTGAAACATACTTTCAGTTTGAATTCTGCCCCTTCCAAAGGGAGAAAGACCTGACTCAGCCATTTCTCCCTCTTCAACAGAGCTGTTCATAAATGTCCTGCGGCCACGCTGTCCCCGATGGCAGCCACCAGCCAGGCGTGCCTGTGGAGCCCTGGAAACAGGACTACACTGACAACTTAATTTAGTGTTTTGTTTAATTTAACTAACTTAAATCTAAGTAGTCACCTGCCACTACTTGGGCAGCACAGCCGTAGAGTGTCCCCCAAAATCTCATTACAAGGAAGCTTCATCATCCGTCTAGTAAATGAAGAGGGAACTTTCAGATTTTTTGTCCCCTCTTTCTGGAAAAAGTTTCTAACACTTCGCAGAGGCTGTGACAACTCTGTGTGCACTCCACTTCTTTCCAGATGCCTTTCTACCTCCTGATACTTTCTCTCTCCCCTCATCCCAACCTTCCTGTGCTGCTTAGTCTCTCCTCTTTGGTCTCATCACGTTTTAACAATAACTGTCAGTGAGTTCTTAGTACCGGCCCGACAATCTAGTAAATACTTTATCTTGCGTTAATTCCCTTAAATCTCACAGCAAACATAAAAGATGCAATATCCCATATTGCAGAAGGGGAAGTTGAAGCTATTTTAAATTGATTTCTGTGATCACAGACTTAGTAAATGGTGGAGTTGGTCCTTGAGCCAAGGTCTATGGGAAGCAAAGTCCTTGATTTTAAGCACCAAACTAGAAAGCCCATGTCTACTTGATACAGTATGACTATAGTGTGGCAATCATGACAGCTGATAAATGCTACAGACATTCTTCCAGAAAAGTGCATCTGCGAACACCATTTCCCATCCCAATGTAGGAGGTTAGGGATCCCCTGAATGTCTTCATCTAGTGAGTCCTCACTAGAAAATTCAGAGTTACCTTAATAAGTTTTATATAGGCTAAGCTACTATATTTTGTAGGCCTGGTGATGTCGCATAGATTTTGGTATGGATTTTATTTCATTTTTAAATTGGAATGCGTAATCATATGTTAAGCAGAGACTAGTCAATTTGGAAAATTATAATAGTGTAAGTCATACCATCATGAACACATCAGTTAGCAAAATCTGAATCCTGAAAGAAAATGCAGCTGAGAGTTTTTCCATAATTGCAAAATGTATGTGTTTGTATTTACTTGATGTATTTATATTATTGAATAGTTGCATGCTAAACTTGCTTGGGTACATTCTTACTTTCCTGGATTGCCATTCACGTTAACATTATAAATGTGAAAATGCGTTCTAAGAGACTTTGTAAAAGATGATGAGACTTACAGGGTATTGGTGAGGTGGAGTTGGGGGAGCTCCTAGGTGTAAAATGTCTGGGAAACACTACTTGACATTCTACTCATAGAGTTGACCATCCCACTTAGCCTATTAAATGCTCTGTGCATTTCCAGGGCTGGGGGAGGAGTTTGGGGCAGAAGGCTGTTGTTCTTAAGAGTTTGTTCTTTGGAGTTACCCCCCAGCCCCGGCTTGTGTGACCCTTGGTCCTACTCTGTGATAATTGAATGACTCTGTGGGCCTCGTTTTCGTGAGTCACCCCTTTTCATTCAATCACCTGTGAATGCAAACAAGTATGTGACAGGACACCTTGGTCTGTCCTTCCCTTGGGGCTGGCAGGAAGGGCAGGGAGAGGACAGTTCCCTTAAATGCTGCCATGCACTTACAGAAAGGCACCGTTAATATGTCTTGTAAAAACGTCAAGTAATTAAACAATGTGTATCTTGCCATTAGTTTTTTAGGCCCATCCTCTTTCCAAAATTAACTACAGTGAGTGCCATTGGGTGCCTAGAAAGTGAGCAAGTATCTCTAATCTCCTAGTGATGAAGGTTTCTAAAATACTAAATATAGCTTCTATGTATCTATAATGTAAACAAGCCCATAGAATGTCAACATAGTTTAATCCAGTTTCCTATACCATGTGAAATATTCTCTTAAAACCCACTCCTCAGGCACTGATATAACCCCTCATCATGCCCCTCAGTCTTGAAACCCAAGAGTCTTTGGTTTTTGTTTCCTCACTGCAGCTGAAATTCTTCATATTCTCCCTGTTTTGTCCTCTGGATATTTCATGACTGTCTTTATCTCTCATTGGAATTACCTTCTGATGCCCTTGCCCTCCTATTTTTTCTTACTCGGGTGTCTCTTACCCAGCCACTAAGAGTGATCTAGTTAAGAGGTCAGATCAGTCTACATCACAGTTCTGCCTCACACGGTTTTGAGATCAGTTTTCCCGCAGAAGAGAATGGCTGGCTGTTATCTCATGCCTGAACATTCATACGGCCTCATTTCCTGAAACTTCCTCCTCACCTGTTACATTTAGCAATGGCTTGTAGTTTCCTGTGTAGCTTCTTGTCTCATTACCTTTTTTTGTGACATTTTCCATGCTTTGAAATCTTTTCTCTTTCATCACCCAAGCCGGTTTGGACAACTTCCACTCAGTGTTGAGAGTTCTGCATGGGCATCCCTCACTCACATCATGTCCAGATTCCGCTTCCTCTCACCTGAGTGGGGTGTCTCTCTCATGCTATCCTTGTGACATTGTAGGCACCTTGCACCCTCTTTGAATATAAACTGAGAACAGGGCTTAGATCTCTGTCATTCTTGTATCTTGAGGATCTAACACAGTTCCCAGAACTTAGTAGTTTCTACTAATTGTTTAATGAACTTGTACATTCAGGCGTGAGTAGAGGAATGAGGATATCTAACATATGATCAAAATTCTAGTGCTCTTGATTTAACTGTTTCACAATACGGCCCATTCCAGGGTTGGACAACCACTTCCTAGAAAACTCTTCATCCTATTGAGTTGAAATGAGCCTTCTCATAATTCATCTTGTATTCCATATAACTTCCATTTTCCAGCACTGAGAATAAATCCATGAGATAGTCTGTAATAGGTTTCAAGATGGATTGATGTCCTTTGGAATCACCTCTTTCCCCCACCACCCCCAGGCCAAGGACTCTTTATTTTAAAAGCAAAATATGTTCACTACTAGATGATTTAAAGATTTGTATTAACAAAAAGAAACCTCAAGGCCCTTTCAAGGCAAGAATTTTACTGCCTGATAAATTCTCGCTGTTTTTGAGTGCCAGAGTAATGCAATTACTCAGTGTATGGGCAGAGGATTTAAGAATAAAGACAGAAACCCATCACCGCATTCAGGTGTTACCAAAAGAAATGGAGAAGAACGCTAGGCATGGAAAGAGAAGTCATCACGGCAGGAGTTAGTTTCCTGAGTAGCTTCAAGAATAGGAGAACAGACTTGGATTGTCCAAAAATCAGCGTCTTCCTTCAGTTCAGTAGAAAGGAAGAGTTTTAAGAAATAGTAGCAGGGAGCGGTGAGTGGAGTTATCAGCAGTGTAGATTTTGGGGTAGAAGGAATATTAACGGTCACAGTGAAACTAAAAAAAAAAAAGAGTAAACAAAAATATTTGTGTCAGTGTTCCTTTTCTGTTGATGTATAAATGTCCACATAAAGGTACATATGTCATATAGAGAGGTAATAGGAGTCACATTCTGGGTTTTTTTTTTTTTTTTTAAGTGCTCTTACATCATACTTTCAAAATAGCCCAGCAGGTAGATAGGGCAAGACACGCCCAAGGTATTTAAGATGATGTCTGAAACCACCATGTTTTCAGTAAGCAGAACTACTAAGAGCTGATGATTGGATTCCGGTTATAAAAAGTAAGTAAATAATGGGGAATAGTAATCAACCGAGGGTACCCATTTGGCTCGTAGGAAGGCAGCAAGTCATTTAGAATTCCATGTGGGTTCACGTCCTGCATAAAGCGTTACTGTTTTCAGAATAAAGGTGTCCTTAAAACTTAATGCAATATGGTCTTAAAGGTCCACCGTCCTGGTATGCTTTATACATATCATTATGCTGTCATATGTATGTTATGTCAGAATATTAAGAAAAAAAATACACTGTGAAAAAAGTTATTAGTTTAAATGCACTAGAAAACGTTGTTGCTGTTGTTTATTTGTTTTTTACTAGAGTATACTTGTAAGCCATATGTATGTCTGTGGTCATTTATGCTTACATGTTTCTATTTAATGTTTAATTTGCATATAGGTTCCTCCAGGGGGAGTTCCTGTAGGTACTAGGCATTCATTTTGTGTTTGCTCTTTTGTGAATTGCTGTGGTTCATTTCCTAGTTCTCTTTCTTTTCCGTAAAACAAGTAGACACTTCCTTCAGTATCCGTTATAAAGACATCTACAACGACTTTATATATGTCTGTGTAGATGTTAATTTAATTTTATGTTCATCATATTATTGGTTATAGTAGAATGAATTGTATGGAATCCAAATTTTATGTGAACTTTAGCAAAGATTGTTCAATTTTTTAATGTTTTTCAGTTTATGACAAACATTAGTAATTCATCATCGTATTTCTGAAAGACTCTAAGCTTGGGATTGAACTCTTTTGAACAAGGTTGTCTGAAGACAACTACTGTTGACCAATTCACATTGGCAGATGAGATTAGTTTCTGTCATTTCCCCTTATGCTTCATAATTAACCTAAGTATGCATATGTACATATGTGCACATATACATACATTTTTGTGTTGTGTGTGTATATATATATGAGGATGCATATAAACGTGTGTGTGTGTGTGTGTATGTGAGAGAGAGATACAGTATTCTGGTTCTCATTGGAAACCCCAAATTGGCTTCAAATCCAGTTGATTGTTATATTTGAATGGATTTCTTCTACATGATAAGATTTTAAATTTTACATTCACATGTTGTTTACCTTTGCATTTGTATATGTCCTTACTTTTGTCTTCAATTTTTCTGTGCTGTGAGTGAATATCAGAGTTTATTTTACCCTCCCAGAGAATAATACACAAACCAATGAAATGACACACTTATCGTGTATAGTTACTATATACTTCAGATAATATAATATTACCTTGGGGCTCCTGGGTGGCGCAGTCGGTTAAGCGTCCGACTTCAGCCAGGTCACGATCTCGCGGTCCGTGAGTTCGAGCCCCGCATCAGGCTCTGGGCTGATGGCTCAGAGCCTGGAGCCTGTTTCCGATTCTGTGTCTCCCTCTCTCTCTGCCCCTCCCCTGTTCATGCTCTGTCTCTCTCTGTCCCAAAAATAAATAAACGTTGAAAAAAAAAATTAAAAAAAATATATATATAATATTACCTTATGTCAGGGGGAAAAGGAAAATTTGTTAATCAGCCTTCTGTATACATACTGATTTTAAAAAAACTAATATGTATTTTAAACAAATTTTTAAACACAAGGGCTGCATTAAAAGTACTGACCCTGTAAGAATAAGAAGTCAGATGGAGTGCTTGGGTGGCTCAGTGGGTTAAGCATCCAACCTCAGCTCAGGTAATGATCTCACATTTCATGGGTTCAAGCCCCATGTCAGGCTCTGTGCTAACAGCTTGGAGCCTGGAGCCTGCTTTGGATTCTGTGTCCCCCTCTCTCTTTGCCCCTCCCCCTCTCGTGCTCTGTCTGTCTCTCTCAAAAATAAATGAACATTAAAAAAAAAATAAGAAGTCAGAGCATTTTCTGTCCATTTTACACTCATAATATGCCACACCCGAAACTAGTATTAGCCTTAAAAATAAGTCCTAGGTAGTAAGCTTTGAGTAGTAATTGGCTGCATATTCCCAAATCTGCCTTCTTCAATTCTTGGCCTCAAAGAAATATCCAGGTATTCACCATTAGCGTCTAAGTACCCTATACATAGATTTTGAAGGTTACTATGGTAACTATCCGTAAATTTCACAAGTTATAATTTAACCAGAGATTAACTGAGCAGGAAAGATTGGCATGAGCTATAAAATGCCATTGACAGTGATAGCTTTATGTGTTATATTATCTTTTTCACAAAAAAAAAACAATCCGCAGGTCTGGAAAGTCGTATTTTAGTCTCTAGCTAGTTGCAACGGGACTTGAAGACCAGCAAATTATCAAAAAGTCTTTAATGTTTCTCGTTATCAAACGTAAGAGTCTGTTTCTGAAGTCCTGGCGGGCGTGTCATCTTGAAACAGGAAGCATTTGAAGTGAGGGTCTCGTGGCTTTCATAAACCGGGAGAACGAACGGCGTGGTCAGTGGCACGACCGGGTGATGCGGTGTCCCGTGTGTGTACCGTGGTGCACGGCCCGGCGCTCACCGCAGTCCTGCACCATCACCACACCTGACATAACAAAGAAAATGCTCACAACATGTGGTGAGTCTCTGAAGGCATTATACCCAACAAATTTACCAACAGAGACTCCAGGGGGAGGGAAGAAAGAAATTGGGAGAACATTAGTTATGAGGAAAGTAGAGAAGGACTGAGGGATCTGAACAAAGGGAAAGAAGCAAATATTTGCTCTATTAGGTCACGGGGCAGAGCTTGCTCAGCTCGGATTACTGGCCACGTAGAGGTTTGAGTATAGGATGCTGCATTGCTCAACATCACTGTTGGGACACTCGGAGAACAGGAAAAAATACATGAATTTAACAGCCTAGTGATTTTACCCTGGTTGGTAATTGCTGTTAATTGAAACTGCCTTTTAACTTTCTCGATCCCTTAAAAATAACCATCAAATTTTATGGAAATTGACTTTAAAGTACACACACAGTAAGAAGGAACCTCAAAATATGGCTTACAATATGTTGAATTTATATGCATTTTATCGTCTATTTTTTAAAATAATTTAACTTTTTATTAACTAATATGTTTGATTAATCAACCCCCCCACCACCACCTGCTAGCCATGCTGAGCATATGGGGTCATGATGCTGACACGGAAACTGAGGTTCCTGTTTGAAAGTATCCATGTAAAGCCTCTGACTTTTCACGGCTCTGAACAATTTTGATTATTTTATAATAAAGAGATCAATGGAAATTATTGTCTATCATATTCATTTTTTTTTATTGTTGTAGGATCAATAAATGTAGCATACTGGACTTGTATCAAAATCTTCCATAGAAGACTTTAAGTCTTCTATGGACCTAGAAGCTGCAATGATATAGCTAAGTGATATCTCAAATATCTAAGGTGATATCACAAATACAGAACTGTGTGAGGTCCAAATGAAACCATTCATTTCAAAGTTATTCAGAATATGTACATACAGAAGCTTTAACAAGATGTATAGATTTCAGCATCTGTGGGTTGCATCAGGACCACCTTTTAATATAGCAGTACAGATATCAACTTTCTCAATTTCACATAAAAATGTTTAAAATGTGAGTGCTAATTTTTTAAGTCAAATTTAACATGTCTTTAACAATTTTTAAGTCTATACTCTGCCCTCAGCCCCCGATTTCAGACATAGAAAAGGAATCTATGATATTAAATTGCATTTCACACTACGCTATGCATACCATGTGTTGGGCGCTTTTTTGAATATAGTTGACACACAGAGCTACATTAGTTTCAGGTGCACAACACAGGGATTTGACTTCTGTCTGCATTATGTCATGCCCACCACACGAGTACCCGCCATCTGTCACCGCACAATGACACTGTTACGGTACCACTGACTGTATTCCCTGTGTGGTGACATTCATCCCCACGACTTATTCCTTCCATAACTGGATGCCTGTATCTCCCGATCTCCCTTTTCCGTCACTGCATAATTTTTAAAGTTGCCCAAATCTATAAAAATGCCTCACCTCCCTGTGCATCTCTGTTGCTGTTGTTGTCATAGCCTTATCAGAAGCCGTCCGTCCCAGATACCCCTCTTTCCTTTGGTGCACTTGCCCTCTGACTCCACGATGCAGACACCAATGCACACCTCCCCACTTCGTGTCCTTGTTCTTTCTTGAAAATGCAGAGATGGATGTCTTCTCATTCAGGGACGTCAATAGACTGTGAAGGGTTTCCCCTGCTTAGTGAATGTTCTCTGTTTTGAACTTTTGCAATCACTTCTCTATGTACATATCGTGTTTCTGGGCTCTTTTATCAGACACACGCACCCAACTCATACACCTTCAATCTGATTATCAGAAATTTTTAAATTAAAATGAACATTATGTTTCCCCTTGGAGAATCTTTAGAGCATTAAAATATGAAAGAACGAGCATGATATTTATAGGTAATGAATTATACATAACCAGTCTTATTTCTATTTTACATTAAACATGAGAACAGAATAGTAATATGCATGTGGGTGCTTTGTTACCACAAATCAAGTAGTTGTACAATCCTACAGCTAAACTTTGGGGCTCCATTTTCTTCTCTTGCATTTACTTCTTATTCCTTGAGCTCAGTGAAGTTCTGGAGAATATTGATATCATAAACCAATAAGAACATATTCAATTGGATTGTTATCTATCTTATTTATTTCCTTTTTTTACATTAATAATACTTACAGTTATTCCACTATGTTGTTTTCCACAAAGTGAGTCATTGTCTTTGCATAATTCAGCTCAGTGATGAGTAAATGCCTAGTAAACCCTATCTTTTCTTTGGAAATTCTTTTGACACTCATGGATGGTTTTGTAACAGAGTTGTCAAATTAATTTACAGTTCATGAACTAATAGCTGCATTGTTTATTCAACTTTTTTTTTGTTTTCTCAAAGACGAAAGACCCAGAGCTTCACCTTTTTCTCAACGATTACACCTCAGTCTTCACCGTCACACAGACCGGTATCACTCGCTACCTCACCCTACTTCAACCAGTGGACCGAGAAGAGCAGCAAACTTACACTTTTTCGGTAAAAAGATTTGTTATTTATGTGTGTTCATGTACGTGTAACGGAAAGTGATGTCTGTTTAAAACTGGAGAGGTCCGTGGGGCGCCTGGGTGGCTCAGTCGTTTAAGCGTCCGACTTCAGCTCAGGTCACGATCTTGTGGTCCGTGAGTTTGAGCCCCGCGTCGGGCTCTGTGCTGATGGCTCAGAGCCTGGAGACTGTTTCAGGTTCTGTGGCTTCCTCTCTCTCTGCCCCTCCCTCGTTCATGCTCTGTCCCTCTCTGTCTCAAAAATAAATAAACGTTAAAACTGAAGAGGTCTGTGACTTAGGGAAAAAATGCAGTATTTTCAAGTAACTGAGAATTGAGACTATCAGTAATAAAATTCTTTACATGTGTTTCTCTTTTTTCTGTTTATAAGTTTGTACAGCTATGTTATCATTATTTACCAAAAAAAAAGGAAAATAATTTTCAAGACGAAAACAGGAAAATGAGACTTTCATTCTTCACCATGCTCTCATAATTGACTTCAATTAAGATAGTATAAACTAGAATCCACAAGTAAAGAATTATTTCCTAACCCTTACTTTATTTTAATTTATTTTATGGTTTTTGTTATTACATTTTATATTTTGGCATAGGGTTAGGCCAGTGGTTGTCCACTGGGATGATCCCTGCACCCCCAAGCCCTGTCCCACCCCCACCCCCCTACCCCCCTGCCGAGCCCTGGGAACATTTGGCAATTTCTGCAAGACAGTTTTGGTCATCACTACAGGATCTGCTGCATCAGGTAGGTAGAGCCCAAGGATGCCGATATGCATCTTGTAACACACAGGACAGCCTTCCCTCTCTCCAACAGGGAATTATCTGATGGAGGAAGCCTGCTTCAGGTTAGTTAAGAAAAAAAATGGTGAGGGGAGATTATTAAAGCTGTATATATATAATAGAATATATACATTATATTCTATATTCTATGTTCTATATATTCTATGTATTCTGTATTCTGTTACACAAACACATACATGATTTGTGGGGGTGAGAGGTGGATATAGATAAAAAGAAAATTGTATTATCCAAATTTATGAGCCATATTTTATTCAGATATTAGAGGAAAATGAGCCAGTGGAAAGGACTTAGGACCTACAGAAGACTCCTTTCTGGAGACCCTTCTTTATACAGCAAAGCCACAGCTTCCAGAAACCCTCAGTGACATTGCGAACTTAGACACAGAGTGGATTTCAGAAGTCATTCAGAACAAAAATGGTGGCGTGGCAGTGCGGACTTTGTTTGTCAGACCTTCCTAAAATGTTAATGATGTAATTAACATAGCACTATTAAGTAACATCAGTAAGTCCTTTAAAACTTCCATTTTGTAAATTACCAGAAAAAGACATCGCATCCCTAGGGCGCCTACTTTCTTGAGTTATCAATATAAGCATGTTGGCTCTAAAAGCATCTATGGAATTATATATAAAATATGTAAAATGGAAGAATATTTTCCTATTAATTTTTAAAAATTAAATAGTAGTTAACTCCTAAGAACCAATGTTACTGGCCCACTCCAAGTTTCTCTAACACTTTACATATCTGCTTATTTACATGTGCTTAGAATTGAATACATTAAAAATAAAACAGAATCCTTTGTAATTGCTTCTTAGTGCATTAAAGCACGTTGCTTATGTGTATTATTATAAGTTTGTTATTTCTATCAACAAAACATTTTGGCACCCTTTTAAAACTGAAATTATATATGAGAAATGCCTTAAATCATAGGACTGAATTCAGTAGTGCTTATGTTTGCATGACTTACCTGTTACATGTGTTTTTCATCCCCAAAGATAACAGCATTTGATGGTGTGCAAGAAAGCGAGCCAGTTATTGTCAATATCCGGGTGATGGATGCAAATGATAACACTCCAACCTTCCCTGAAATATCCTATGATGTCTATGTTTATACAGACATGAGCCCCGGGGACAGCGTCATACAGGTAACTACCCATATGGTACAAGGCACTATGCAAAACGGTTGTTTCCATGGGCATTGTATAATGCGATGCTTCAGAAATTGCTTAAGAAATGAAAACAAGGGGCACGTGGGTGGCCTAGCTGGTTAGCGTCTGACTCTTGATCTCGGCTCAGGTTATGATCTTACAGTTTGTGAGTTCAAGCCCTACATCAGGCTGTGTGCTGACAGTGCAGAGCCTGCTTGGGATTCTGTCTCTCCTTCTGTCTGACCCTAGCCTGCTTGTGCTCTCTCTTTCTCAAAATAAATAAACTTAAAAAAAAAAAAAAAAAAAGGAAATGAAAATGAACTTCAGGCTCATTATATGGCATAATCTGGCTTAAAAAGCTTGAGCCTTATGTTTACTTGTCACATATAAATGTATTTATATTGACTTTAAAGGAGAATTAACTAGTTATTAGATGTAAACGCAGCTATTTGATCAGTTTATACTTGATTTTTAAGAGTTTAATACACCGAATACACTTAATTAATATAGTAGTATTTTTAATATATTGATGTTTTCAAGTATTAGATGTATAGTTGAAAATTCCAAATTGTTTGGACCTTTTGTAAGTATGGGTTAATTTTCCCTTGGCGATTGGGGCGCCTGGGTGGCGCAGTCGGTTAAGCGTCCGACTTCAGCCAGGTCACGATCTTGCGGTCCGTGAGTTCGAGCCCCGCGTCGGGCTCTGGGCTGATGGCTCGGAGCCTGGAGCCTGTTTCTGATTCTGTGTCTCCCTCTCTCTCTGCCCCTCCCCCGTTCATGCTTTGTCTCTCTCTGTCCCAAAAATAAATAAAAAACGTTGAAAAAAAAAATTAAAAAAAAAATTTTTTTCCCTTGGCGATAAAGGCAGAGGACTACGTTAATGAGTTGGTGGATGACATTGTCAGACAGTGGTTACCTGGACATAACATGGAATCATCACAACAGAGAAAATCTGGATTTCATAGTAAATGGTATCTGTGAAACTACAGAAATCGGCAAAATCTTTCTCTTTGACTTGTCTTATTATTAACTGCATACTTACTGCATTTAAATTAATTATAAGTTATCTCAAACTATGTTGGTTTTTTTTTTTTTTGTATTCTGTGCGTAAGTCATAAAGAAGTAATCATATTCTTCCTCGAGGGCTTTTGGGATAGTAGAGTCTAGTACTTTGCAAATTGGCTGTACTGCGGAATTATCTAGGGAGATGTTTAGAAACACAGACAACCAAGATGTCACTTCACCTTTCTGGGATCTTAGGTTCTATGAGCAATACTTCGGTTATTGATATTAAAATAATAAACCCGAGGGGTTCAGTGTCCAGACACATAAAGACCACTGATGTAGATTGTCCTCAATATCTGAGAGTCAGATTCAATAATTTTAAGTTAGTTTCAGGCCAGGAAGGCCATGATTCTGTATACTTTTTAGAGCATTTGAATGGCTACAAATTGTTACTAAATGACATATTGTATATCATATAAGTATACCATAATGATATGTAATAATGTATATATAACGCATACTAAATATGCACTAGTATAATATATAATTAATGCACATAACTCAATTTACGTGTCTACATGTCTTAGCATATAGCATATATAAATAGTTCAGAATAGTAGAGCATCAGCCTAAAGACCCTGACGACAAACATAAGCCTTCACGTGCGCCTCCCGATTCCCCCGGCTCCGCGTTTGCCTTCTTTTCCTTTGCACGTGCTTTGCTCCTGAACCACCAGCTCACCTAACCGAAAGCGTGTGGCTTCCTCTTTCTCACTTCCTCCAGTTAGCCGCTTCCCTTCCATGTACAGCTTGATGAGCCTTCTTGTCCTTCACATTATTTCCTTTCTGAGGACGCATGCCTTGGCGGTGTTCATCCTTCCTTGATGGTCCCTGCTCTTGCACCCCACCTGGACACAGTGCTGTGCAGCCACGCTTCTGTGATCCACTGCTGTGACACAAAACACTCATCACACCTTGTCCCACATCATCACTCGTCATCGGTGTGAGACATTAGGGAAGAAACGGTTCACATTCTTCTAAGTGCTTCTGCACACTGTTTTCTGTCGACCAAGAGTACTCTTCTTAACCCAGATTTTGCAAGGCTGGCCCACTTTCTTCGTACAGAACTCTGCCCAAAGTGTCACCTCCTCAGAGAAAACTTCCCTCGAGGCTTAGTGCTGACCCCCTTCCAGCTCACACACTCTCTGTGACTCCCCTCTCAAATGATCCTATTTTCTTCTCTCTTGCCCTCACCCCACGCTGAAGACCCCAAGAGGTCAGTGTCTTTTTTTTTTATCACCGTGCTGCCTCAACACGCAAGACGTATCACCCATGCGGTACCTAGTCATCCAAAGGATGAATTGTTACCAAATTCACATGGCGCTGTTTTTAACATAGTCTAGAAATAATTCCGTGCTATCTCTCTTTTATTCATCGGATTAAGATATACTTTCTTGGGTGATAAAAGGGATGACATTATAGCATGGACAGTGGAAATTCACATGTACGCGCTTCCATGCGTGGATACCCCCTGCTGTATATGGCAGTGGAGAAAAGGCCACAGTACATTTTATTCCTATCTTGCTTATGGCATGTGTCATATTGACGGGATCCACCCTTTCAACCATTTGTCTTGAGGGCAGAACTCTCAAGACAATTAAAAATTAGTTTATAGCATCCACATCAATAGTGCCTAGCATATCACAGGTGCTCAATAGAGTTGATGCTTAATATGTTTATTCCAGGATGACAGAAGGGAGACATGTGGACAAGCAGAATGAATGGGAAGGTATAAACACATTGGCCTCTATTTCTAGTTGATTGGTGGACCTCAAGAACTACATTTGTCTTTACCGAGGCACTTATATGGGCAGCAACATTGCAGTGTATACAGATAAAGGAATGACACTCGTTGTCATGTTCTTATTTAATTAGACCTGATTCTTATCTCTATAATAACATAATTGGAAGTAAAAGTAAGTTTATACATAAAAAATAAAAAAATAAAAAAATAAAAAAAGCCAGCAGGGAGCTGGAAAGTGTAACTAAGAAAATGATAGCAATTATGTGGTGGAACTGTATCTCAAAAAATGTCTGCCTTGGGGGATCACAAGCTGATTTCTGGCATTTGCTGGCTGAAACAGTTAATTTCCCTATGTATCTCTTTATAAAATAGATCTTTCTTTGCCTTTAAAGATTCATATTTAAATAACTTCCTGAACCATGCAGATTATGAAGATAGAGTGTCATTTGTGTTTATATGGCTCTATCTTTAAAAGTTACTTAAGCACCAAGAGATAAAGACTTATAATTAGTATTTTAAATGTTATTCCTGGCATGTGGTAAAAGAGTGGCATGGCTATAAAACATCCTTCAAGGGCCTGGAAATAAAAGGAAATCGATTTCCTATTGAGAGAAAAATGTGTAAACAAAGCAAAATGATTTAGAACTGGGACCTGTCCCTGCCTCATAAGAATGACAAAATAAATTCTGTGCTGCACCCACCCAGCCCTCGCCAGCCCTGTCTTTCCACACTGACCCAGCACAGTATCACCTCATTTACTTTTAGTTACTATTCTGGTGTCAGAAAGAGTAAGAACATTAGAAGCAAAGGTGACAGTGAACAGAGACTGTCCAGCAGAGAGCTCCTTGGATAACAGATTTTAAGTGCATTTTATTTATTTTTATTTTTTTTATTAACTTGTTTTATTTATTTATTTTTTAAATTTACATACAAATTAGTTAGCATATAGCACAACAATCATTTCAGGAGTAGATTCCCTAGTGCCCCTTACCCATTTAGCCCATCCCCCCTCCCACAACCCCTCCATAACCCTCAGTTTGTTGTCCATATTTATGAGTCTCTTCTGTTTTGTCCCCCTCCCTGTTTTTATATTATTTTTGTTTCCCTTCCCTTATGTTCATCTGTTTTGTCTCTTAAGGTCCTCATATGAGTGAAGTCATATGATTTTTGTCTTTCTCTGACTGACTGACTTCACTTGGCATAATACCAACTGTGGAAAATAGTATGGAGGTTCCTCAAAAAACTAAAACTAGAACTACCCTACAACTCAGCAGTTGCACTACTAGGATACTACTGGGTATCCACGGGATACGGGTGTGCTGTTTCGAAGGGATACATGCACCCCCATGTTTATAGCAGCGCTATGTCAACAATAGCCTAAGTATGGAAAGAGCCCAAATGTCCATCGATGGATGAATGGATAAAGAAGATGGGGTGTGTGTATATATATATATATATATATATATATATATATATATATATACACAATGGAGTATTAGTCGGCAATCAAAAAGAATGAAATCTTGCCATTTGCAACTATGTGGATGGAACTGGAGGGTATTATGCTAAGTATATTTTAACCAGGGCATTCCGAATCTATCATTTTCAATGTGGCCCCGAGACTGCCTTGGCCTGAGGAAGTACGTTCTCGATTATTGCAGCACCTTCTTGGTGGAAACATCCTTGACTGCGAGAAGCAGATAGGTTAGGCATAAAGGTGTGAGTAATCAGGTCCTTATAAATTGGTCCTCTGACTTTATATCTCTGATGCCTGAGTATTGAAGCAGGAACAGCGTGATTCTCATGTGTATGGGTCCTGAGCACCCCGGCCCTGCCCCTCCAGGGCAGTGCTGTCACAAAACACCATCTGCACCTTCCATACCTGGAAATGAGGTGCAATCAGAGTACTAGCATATCTCGTCTTGAGGGGGAAGTTGGTGGCATGAGTGAGAATGATTTTTGGCCTGAAAGAGCTTTTTGTAGGCCATCAGTGAAACTCTGCCGGTTTGGCACCAACGAATATCATGCTGTGTTGTCTTAGGTCTCATTTCACACATTGCTGGTTTTCTCGAAACACCAACTGCTGTGTATTAAAGATACAGATCTTGGTATGTAATTTTAATATTTTGAAGATGTAGATTTTCGTATCAGTAGTTAAGTCTAGTCCATACTCTATGGATGCTATTCTT